ACCATGAGGAGTAGTAGCCCGATTTAGTCTCCAGGGCGTGTAGTCTCCCATGTAAGTGCTACGGTTTGTTGCCGAGCCGGGCATGTTAGTTGGTCTGGGGTGTGTCCAACAACATGCACCACTCTATGAATAGGAAAATCTTGTAACGATCAGAGCAGTACTTTAAAAAATGTGGTGAAACAATGTTATGTCACCCGTTAGATTCACACACTATTACAGGTTTAAGTGCTAGGGACTAATGGACAAATTTATAAATACCTTGTCTTGAGTTTGTAATAGTGTACATATGTTGTTTTGTGATTATTTTTCTTAAGACTGCAAATTTCCGAGCTACAGATTGTTTTTACTTTTACTGGTTATTTTGCGAGTTTTCGCTTGTTTTTATCAATTATCATAGTCTACATGCATGTTATTTCTGGTTCAATTCTGTTGTTTACTCCTTTGCTCTTGTTGATTTTCATTTAACGGTTCTGTTTTTGTCAATGCAGTCTATTCCACTTCCACGCAACTTTTCTTTCGATTGAACTACTTATGCGTGTTTTATCCGTCCACAATTATATAATATTTTCTGTTGTGTATTCTTTTAATTTTCTGTTCAGGGCCTTCGTTGTTTTCCAGCTCGAAATACTGCAAGCTGAGTGCACGCTGATCGGGAGTCCCACAATTTATGAGGTCAGTGACGCCGCTCAGCCGAAGAACGGATGCTATTCTGATAGACTGGGCATATATAGGCCTGACATGATCTCAAAGGTTCAGCAAGGTGTTACCAACATAGCATGTTCTCGTGATCAAGGCTTGGCAGGTTCCTCTCGTGCTCCAAGGGTAGAGCATGCTGTGAACAATCTGCATGGATTTTATGATTTAGTGTCAGCCCAGAACACAATAGATGCCAAGATGCAGCAGCTTTCACTGAGGAATCAAGGCCAAGGGCTCGCGGCTCCTGCTACAAACTGGGAAGGCTACGACTGTACCGGCAATACATACCGAACCATTGCACAGATCAAGGATGACAACTTTAGGATGTCCAGTCAACCTGACTTGATCACGGTTGTGGCTGCAGTTTCACATGTAGACAGTGGTGCCTTCTGCTACCCATCTTGCGCCTTGATGTTCGACGGTGAGAAATGCAATAACAAGCTGAAAGTTGATGGTGATGGGTGGTGGTGCACGAGATGCCTCTGGAGGTCCCAGACCTGCGAGTACCGGTACATGCTGAACTGCCAAATCAGTGACCATACTGGTTCAGCCAATGCTACAGTCTTGCAAGAGGCTGCCGAGGAAATAATTGGCCACACAGCACAAGAACTCCTCATGATAAAAGATGTCGACAAAGACGGTGTAAAATTTGAGGAAATCATGCAGGGTATCCTTTGGCGTCAGTATGTACTTAAGCTGAGAGTCGAGGGGCATGGTGTGATAACGAAACGCAGCATAGTTGAGGCTGAGAAGTTGGAGTCACCGTATACGAGCCATCTCCTAGGGGCGATCGGCAACCTGTTAAAGAGTGATTCGTCCTCAACTCCATGGGTGCAATGTGGCGTGGCCCCAACCGCCCGTCGTCCCACAAATCTGAAGGCACAACACACTTCTGGAACTTCCAACAATTCCTATGGCAGCATGAGGAGCACCAGGGGCGCAAGCTACCGGCGCCCCGCAGATCAGCTTCCGCATTTCTCTACTCCACCATCAGCCTATGGCAACATGATGAGCGCGGATGGCGCAAGCTATCGGCACAAGGCAGATCAGCTTCTGCAGATGGCTAACCCACCATCAGCCTATGGCAGCATGATAAGCACCGGTGACGCAAGCTATCTGCGCTCCGTCAGTCAGCTTCCACATATCTCTACTCCACCATCAGCCTATGGTAGCGTGATGAACACGGGTGGCGCAAGCTATCTGCACTCCGCCGGTCAGCTTCCACATATCT